GAGAAAAACTAGAAATAAATCCAAGTAACTTAAAACTTGCATCCGATAGAAATAGTGGTCTTTTTATTAAAAAATAAATAAATAGAAAAATTTAAAATAAAATAGAAAAATAATAATTTTTTCTTTTCAAATTAAATTGTATTAAGTTAGCGGCGATCAGACCCAATTCGTTATCGATAAAATTTTGAAAGTTCTTCATTTCTAACTAAAAAGGAATTCAAAAATATTTTTCCTTACCTTCTTTTTCCCCATTCAATTATTTTGAAAAGTTATCCATGTAAAAACAGCAGAAGACAGAAATAATTAGACGCATATGTTGGAACAAATTTTAAGGAGGGGTAAGACTAGTAGCAAGGAAGAAAAAACTAATAAGTTCGCAGACAAGCTTTAGTAGCAACTCACTACAAAAGTGAAAAATTCAAAAAAGAGAAGAAAAAAAGAATTTTTTTTGTGTGTGTTCCCCCACTCCCAAAGAACTATTTTAGTTTAAATCTGAGAAAGATGAAAAAATATTCTTGAATATTCTGATTCGCACACAAGATACTTCGGATTTGGTAAGATCTTTCAGATTTTTTCAAAAAATGCTTTAGTTCATATTTGTGACGATTTCTTCAATGATCAAATGAAACAGATATTAAAAATATAATGAAAAATCAGATGGCATAAAAATTTTAATATAATACTAATTCTGTACACATACGTTAAATATGTTTTTATTTAGAATATGATTAATATGTTTCTTTCTACATTAAAAAATCTTAGTTATAGTGTCTTAGTAGTCTGTTTTTGGATATTAAATTTACTTTACGTTTCATTTTGTTTGGCTGCGAAAAACTAAAATACTTCGAAACTTAAAAATGTGAATAAAAAATTCAATATTCGATAATTAGTTCAAAAATTATTGATTGTAAAAATACAAAGCGAGAAGCTCTGCAGCCCACAGGAATGCAACTACAGATTTGAAATTTGACGTGCTGAGATCGCCATTTTTATTTTAAGGCCTTTACTGGAGTTTTTTTTTTTGACCGAAATTCCAATTTGGGGGAAAGTTATAGCAAGCGTACATGGAGAAGAAGTTATTTATACCTCTCGAGATCTTCATTTTAATAAATAAATAAAAAATAAATAAAGAGAAAAATTATATGCTACCAGAAAATTTTCGTTTTACAAATAACTTTCTACAAAATTCTTCGTTTGAAAAACGAAGTTGATGACGCCTTTAATTCATAATTCTTTAAAAAAAAAAAAAAAAAAAAAAAAAAAAAAAAAAAAAAAAAAAAAAANAAAAAAAAAAAAAAAATTTTTTTCTCCTAATAAAAATAATAAAAACAGGACTTCACTTCCCCATAATCACAAAAACAAGACACAGGCAGAAAATAATAATAAAAAAAAAACGTCATTCTTACAGTAATTATAGATTTTGAAAAAAACTAGTAGATTTTTCAGAAATGTGCAAAAAACAGGACCTTAAATTAAATGTCCAGACAGATTACTAGTTTTTGTGGTTTCTCACAAAAACAGAGCGATTTCTTACATTTAAACAAAATCATAAGCAGATTTTTCACAATTTTACAAAAACAGGACTCACTAAAAAAAAAAAAAAAAAAAAAAAAAAAAAAAAAAAAAAAAAAAAANAAAAAAAAAAAAGGAACGATCTCCGATCTTTTCATTTCGTATTATCACATAAAGTTAAAGAAACCATTTACCTAAATATCAAGTCAAAAAATGGGCGCTAGATGTCAATAGTATTAAATAGTGGTGAAATTACTTTATTCTAATCTAAAAAACCCAGAAAGAAATCATAATAAACTATATAAAAAAAAAAGGTTTTAATAGTAAAAAATGATGCAAATAAGAACCGTAAAATACTTTTCATTGAGAAACTTCATTCAATTACTAAAATAGAAAGAAGAAGAAAAAAAGAGACAAATTCCTGAGCAAAATATTAATGTCATCGCCAAATTTGTTGTCATCTCCCACCATTTGGCAGCTGTTCAACCTCCTAACATTTTTCAGCAATTGTGTCTGATATTTAATTACTGTTTACATACACTTCATTTGTATCAACTAACCTACAAGGGCAGAAATAAAAGCGAAGTAATTATTCATCTCTTCGAGAACCCCCCCCCCCTTACCTACTTGGACAAGTTTCGAATCTTCGCAAACCTTGGAAGAATACCATCTTCTAAGCAGATCAAATTATGAAAGAGAAAACTCATTAGAAAGAATAATCCTCGAGTTTTATTTATATCCTTCAGCAATTTTGGGCTATGTATGGAGTAGTCCTTCATTTTTAAACGGAATTAAGCTTAGTATTTTTTAGAGCCTAGAAAAACAATTATTTATTTTATTTAAAGTTCTTAAGCATTTTGAATTAAAGTGAGATGTTTTAGACAATCTTGCTATATTTCAGAAAATTAAATTTAGTTATTTAGCTCATTATATCTTTCAGCAACTTGAGCTATGTATGGAGTAGTCCTTCATTTTTAAACAGCATTAAGCTTAGTATGTTTTAGAGCAAATAGTAGCTTAAAAACTATTATTTATTTTATTGATTTAAAAGTTCTTCATCAATTTAATTTTAAGTTCTTAAGCATTTTGAATAAAAGTGAGATGTTTTGAACTATTTTGAAACCTTTCTGCAAATTAAGTTATTTTTTTTAGTTAAGCGTGTCAAAATGTAAAGTCTATAAACCATCTTTCAATTTTAAACCGAAATAATCTTAACCTTACTATTTTTTTTAAAGCCGCCTAACGGTTGAAGTGCTAGACTATTTGAATTAAGGAAAGAAAGATGTTTTTAGACCATCCGACAACATTTCTGAAAATGAATTGACCTAATTTTTAAACCAAACGCCTCAAAATATAATGTCCATAAATTATTCAATTAACGAAACCAAACGTCCCAAAAATTTATCTATAAACTATTATGTTATGACTAAAAATAAACACAAAGCTTCTAGTTTAAAAAATGTCAAAAGTCAAATATTTTAAGGTTATCCTTTATGATGAAAATATCTTTAAAAAAGTTGTATTTCAAATGCAGTTTTTGTCTTTAAAATAAAGTAGTTAAAAAAATAATTTAAAAAAAACTTAATAAACAATATAGCTTACAAGTTAATTTCAAAGAATAAATAAGTTATTTTCATAAATAAAGAAAAATTTGAATAACTAGAGCATAAAACTTTTAAAAGGTTAAACGTCATTATAAAAAAAATGTCGTTCAATGCAGAACTAAAAACACTTAAAATAATAAAAATAACAATAACCACTTCTATTTATAAGCATATTAATAGAGACCATAAATAGTTTCTAACTCAGCATTCGAAACCAGTTTATTTCGTTTTTTTTCCAAAATTAACTTTTCAATAGTATTATTTGTAAATTCAACACTTTAAGAACTCGGAATTGCCGAACGTGATGTGAAGGTAATGAGAATGAGAAGGCGTGTGCGGGGCCACAATTTAATATGGTAATTGAATTCCCCAGAAAACGGATCACTTTATGCTAATACCTTACAAAATGCATTGTAGTTTAACGTTAATGAATGTGGGAGTCTTTAAGGATAGTGAGATAAAAGGGACTACACATTGCGACTGAAGTAAGCGAAGACGACGAGTGCGATTCTAATTTTCTTAAATTAAACGACCGGGGCTAAAAATTGTTTCGAAATGAAATATCACCGAGACAAGATGTTGTGATTTAGACAGTGGAATTTGTAACTTGTAGGGATAAGATTGGGATTAAAGAACTGATTGATGAGAAATAAATCATGCCATTAAATGAATGTTAGATAGAAAAGAGCTGTTTTAATTTTTTACTCAGTTTTAACATAACGTAATAGATTTAAAATTAATGAGAATACCTCTTAATTACTATATTATATATTATTATTATATGCATCGTAGTCAAAGAAATCTATTTTCTACAAATAAAGATAATGGAATACTTTTGAATTTGAATTTCGATTTAGATAGTGGAATTTTGTGACTTTAAGCAGAGATTAGGAACAAAGAACTGATTGATGAGAAATAAATTATGCTATTAAATGAATGTTAGATAGAAAAGTGCTGCTTTAATTTTTTTACTCAGTTTTAACATAACCTAATAGATTTAAAATTAATGAGAATACCTCTTAATTACTATATAATATATCATTATTAAATGCATTGTAGTAAAAATGAAGAAATTTACTTACTACAAATAAAGAAAGATAATGGAGATTGTTTTGGAATACTTTTGAATTTTAATTTCGATTTAGATAGTGGAATTTTTTGACTTGAACCAGAGATTAGGAATAAAGAACTGAATTATGAGGAATAAGTTAAATCATAAATGAGTGTTAGATAAAACAGTGCTCTATTTTAATTTTTTTCCTCAGTTTTAACATAACGTAGTAGAATTAATGAATTATTATTCAAGTTAATAAGAATATCTTTTAATTACTATATTATATATTATTAATATTCTATGCATTGCAATCAGAATTAAGAAATCTATTTTCTGCAATTAAAGATAACGGCAATTGTTTTAGAAAAATGTTTAGAGTTTGCATTTAAATCAACTGAAAATAGAATACTTACTATTTCATTATTATTTATTTTTATCAATATATATATATTCTAAATAAGATATTAAAATTTGGTCAATTAGGTAAAATATCAAGATATGCAATAATGCAAAATACAACAATTTATATTTTTGGTTTAATAATGTAAAAATTTTACTTCCCAAATTTTTTTTGTATTACATATGATTTTTCTAATATAAGGATAAGGTATTTAACAACATTTTTTTTTTTTTAAAGTGAAATTTATATTTTAAAATATAGTCGCTCCTGAGAAAAGGAACACAAATTTTTGATGAACTGAGCTTTACAGAAAATGGGTGTATAAGGAATTTGCTTTATAAATACATAAAATTTTGTGATTAAAAATAAGTTTGCTTTACAATAATACATATAAAATGTTCCAAAAATTTAATTACATTATGAATCTTACCTCTATTAGATTTTAGACTTGAATTCGTAAATTTTGATTTATTCAATGAAATAATCCAAAAGAAATAACCTGTAAAAAAAGAATGATTTAATGTTAATTAAAAAGATGATAACCAAGTAGCACTGTAATTAAAACAAATTTATAAAAAGTCTCAAGATTTGCAAGTTTTTTACCATTTTGAAATTTGAAGATAAAATTGCCTCCAAACAACAATTCCTATCATTCGACACAAGTCGTATTTTCCGTCGCATTTTAAACTGGCAAATATAAAATTTTACATAAAAAATTATAAATCAGAAAAATAGGCAAGATTTAATGCTTATATATAGGAAACCAAAGTATGAAGTGGCAGAAACTTCTCTCCATAATTAATTTACAATGTATGCGAAAAGTTCTTTGTAACAGGACTTATTATTTTTCGTATAACCGTGGGAGGTTTTTGTGGTTTTTCTCTCCATGTAATGCAAATGCGGGTTACTCTCGAGGAAAAAAAAATTGGCCATGAAGACTAGTTTGTCCTAATGCTTGATATAGAGTTCCCTTGTCAACTGGGTTGGTTTTAAAATTACATGGCCACGGAGTTGAACATAAATGGTCGTAAACCCGAAAATGGGTTCGACTATTCCAATGTCGTTTATATACTAAAATTTTATTATTATTCAGAAAGCTTTATTTCATAAGACGAATTAATTTCATACAAGAACAGATGAAGAATTTCATACAAGAATAAGAGAGATAATTTCATACAAGAAGAGATGAAAAACTTTGTTTTTCTAAATTACTCAACATATTATTATATTAAGCTCTTAATTAAATATGACTTGGTTGTGGAAGAAATAAAAAAAATCGAATAAATTGATGTGATTGGTGAATAGCAAAAATAACACTCTCTCGAATCAAAGATTTTTTTAACATTCACGCACGGCTTTAAACACTAGAGGAACAAGTGAATAAAAATAAAATGTATAATAACAGTATTTGTGAGATTAGAGTCAATCTGTCAACTCCGGATTTTGCAAAAAAACAGAACACGGGCATCCATAAATGGGGCGTTGACAACAGATACACTCGAAGTTTAGGACCCCACCCTGAATAGGTTGCTTTGTTGCCATTCGGCGGGTGCGAAATACCAGCTGAAACAAATACAAACAGAGGCTAACAAAGAAATTTCTCACGGTGAATATAATCAATTCTTTGTTTAGTTTTTAAATACAATGGATTTTTTTTTCGATGAATGGAAAGATGAAGAGAGAGTAAAGGCATATTTTGTAAGTATTTCTGGCAAAATGTTTTCTTTTCAGTAAAACTAACATTTGCACAGGAGACCATTTGTTGAAAGATGAATAACTCATAAAATATGCTTTAAGAGTTAAAACAAAAAGCGTTTAAAGTGTGATTATTCTTTCAAAAAAAGGGGCAATTAAATCTGATATGTGTAGCAATAAAGAGAAACCACGATTTTTCAAAGAGTTAAAAAGTTATTCCTTATCGCCAATAAAATAACATTTATTAAAAAAAGTATTTTAACATTGTACAATAAACACTTGATTACCAAAATGCCTTTATACAGTATTATTTTATAATTACTAAGTATTATACAAAAAGGAATTTTAGTAACTTTAAACAGGGAATTTCAGGATTATTGGGACAAATTTTAAGGGAAGGTAGGAAAATCATCACAAGGATTCACAATTACATAGCAACCCAGAGTCGGAAACGTCATTGGAAAGTAGTATGGCAGGTGCAAAACAAAGAGACAAGACTAAGATAATCCAAAATATTTATCGCTTCTAAGATATTGCATGTGCTGTAGTAGATGATATGTGAGATTGTCTCAAAAGATGTTTAAAGTTTCCACAATTGCCAGCGCATCCGGTACAGTTGGGTCATGGATTAGCATACTCGCTTAAATAAATCTGGATATCCGCAGGGTAGACGATTCTTGCAACCAGATTCATTCCTGAATCCACAGATGTTGCGTACACAACACTTTTCAGTGCATCCCCCACCAAAAAAAAGAAATCCACACTGATTAAATCAGGAGAAAGTGGTGGCCAGTGAACAATCGGTCCTCAACTCTTAATTCATCTTGTGAAGAACACCAAGAGGAGAAAGAAGACGTTTCCAACCAAAGATTGCTATGCATATCTGAATCATTGAGATGTCCCCTACCTTCCCTATAAGTTTGTCTCAATAATACTGGGACACCCTGTACAATAATTTTAGTAACTTGAAATATTACTACAGATAAAGCAGAACTTGATCATATTTTTTTTTAAAATTAATACAGAATATTAAAGGATTAATATTTTTCAAAGAAATATTTTGAACTATACTTTTTTATTAAAATAAATGAAATTAACTGTAAATCCTCAGGATTTTTTTTTTCATTACAGAAGGTAGTGACTTCTATAGTAAGAAAATCATCAACATCTAATTAAAGCTGAAAAATAATTGACAAGAAAAAAAAAAAAACGTCAAAGGAATGGATTTATTTTATTTAATTAGAAATTTATTACGTTCTGGTCACAAATCTTAGGAAAGCTGGATTTCCGTAGATTTGCTGGAACATTTTGTTCACTTCATCTAGATCAAAAGTCGTAGAAATAAAATAAAAAAAACTCTAATATTTTTCATCAGCGACCTCCACAATAAAATCAGGACCGAGATAGCCCAGTTGGTAGGTCGTTGGGACCATGTTCAAGAGGTCAAGAGTTCGATCCCCGCCAGCCTAAGACTACCATGCACAAAACGGTGTCTGGTGTACTCTAAATCTATCGGGGTCACAAAGTCCTCCAAGTTCCCATAACAAATCATTACGTCTAGGGATACTGAATCGGAGATATATCGTGCTCTGGTTCAGGTTAAAATTACATTCTGCAAATGTATGGTGTGTTAATGTCCTCCCTGTAAAACGGGCAGTGACGTATGTGTGTAGCAGTCGAATTCTTAGCTAAAGATAGCGCCACTGGAAAAAAAGATGAAGAACACGCCTCTGCCTTAAAAATATGCTCGTCTGCAATGACAAGTGGCATAAGGTAACAACGACGATAAAATTAATATTGCATTAACAGATTGATTTATCTCTGATATTTAGTACTCAGGATGACATGTGCAGTAGGTTGTATCACAAAAAATGGGAAATTTAGAATTTCAAGGATATAAAAAATTTTACTGACGTCACATATTTACAAAAAAACATTAATTTTTAAAACATAATAAGAAACAAATTTTCCTTTTCAAGTTCAAAAATTTTAAGCAATCGGTCTTTCAAAATCTTCATGAAAACCTCAATCTTACTCGCTATATACATAATAATACATCTTGGAATTGAAAATTGAAAAAAATGCGTCATTTTTATTGAAACTAAGATTTTCATTTAGATTTAAGAGAGACTAATAAGTAATATTAGTCTCTCTTATACTATAAGTTATATTAATCTTTATATTAGACTATAAGTTATATTAGTCCTTTTTACTGTTGCTTTACATTTTCGAACGTGGATACTTAAATTTGTTTTATTCTTATAACTGTTATGTTCTTATGCTATTTGTTTTATTTTTGATAAAAGAGAAAATTAAAATTGAGTTAATTTTTTAATGTGCATCCACAAAAACTTTCGACAAAACCAGATTTCCTTAAGGTTTGTAAGAGAGCTCTTTGTTTTGCCCCTGATCTATCTATTTTTAGGAAGTTGTAAAATAGAGTGAAACACAAGGCTCATTACTCTATATTTAGAGTATTCTTTTAAAAAGGTGGAGAAATAAGAAAACCTAATCGGACGAGGAAAAAAAAAAGAAGAAAAAAAATTATCAGTGGTTAAATATATGTATTTATACATATTTAATCAGTACACTTGCTGTCTATATAAGGTGACCAATGTTGTTGTCTCTTTTATTATTTTTTTTTTATTATTTATTTAGAAGAAAAAAAACTAAAAAATTGCCAACAAAATTTTTGAAAATCGAAATTTGAACGATTTCTAAATGGTGTTCCCCGGAACCCTAGGGTTCCGTGAAAGGGTCACAGGGGCTCCGAAAGTTAGGAATTTTTTTTTAACTACTTATTATTTTTTTAAATTACAAATTACATTTATATCCAATTAATAATCCATTATTTATTTAATGTTTCCGTTACTTTTCCAGATCAAATAAAATTCAACAATAAGGTATGTTTCTCTTATAACCATTTTCAACGTTTATTTTCTTTTTTAATGAAAACCATATTGCAGGTCATTCATTTTCAGTCCATGAGTGCGTTGAAATCAAATTATGAACTAGACTAGACGCCGCTACAGACCTGTGAATTCAACTATCCGACATAAAACCCAACGATTCATTCTTCATTCATTCACTAAATATTTTCAAATTAATATAAAATATATCATTGCATAATTTAAAAATAATTTGCAGTCTTTTGTTAATTAATATATTCTAACGAAATTTGTTAATTCAATCTTGGTGTTTCACGAAATGAAGGTCTATCATTTAGAGTTCCACAGCCAAAAAAATTGGTAACCTCTGCTAAAGCATCACCTTTATAATGTTTCGAACTCTGATTTTCATACCCTAAATTATATTGTATTTAGAACTTATTTGTTTGGCTAAAAAAGTTTATTTTTCTCATTAATTACCCAAGTAAAAATAAACACTTAACTTTAAAATGGATCATTTTTCACCCAAAATCTATCTGCAACTTTTCTTTTTAAAAGAAAAAGAAAGAAAATAACAAATTTCAAAGTAGATATCTTTTTACACAAACAATCCAAAGTACTGTGGAATTGAAAACTAGAAAAACAAAAGTCGGTTTCGCCGCCGAATTTCCATATAAGCGTAACGCGAAACGAATTAAGTAAATGATCGAGCAGACGATAAATGCAACGAACCAAAAACCCAAACTGGAGAAAGGAGGGAAGGAATAAAAAAAAATTTCGTTTGTCGACGCCTTGCTCTGCAAAAGATACAGGAGATATTCAGTGGATGAATTGAAAGGTCAAAAGGGAGTGCCCTTGAAGTGAAGTAAAAGTTCATAAGACAACTTAGGAAGAAAAAAAAGAACGAAATGATAAT